TTGTTTTGCCTTTATTTAGAGCAGTAGAGATAGACAGGAAAGGGGGAGAAGCTCCTGTTTATGGGTCGCCTGCTCAGCTTGGTGAGCTACAGGGGCGCCTAAACACACTGTTATTTAATGTTATTAAATTCTAAAACTACCACCAAAGTACTAATTAAGGTATCAGTCCAACTGTTTTTTGTTTTTTTTCTAAATGACATTCCTCAGCTAATAAAACCACAACTTAAAGATAAAAACAACAACAACACTATTATGTTTATAAAAAATTCACAAAATGAATAAGGATTATTTTTCATTTTAATGTTTATCATGATTTTGTGAATGTATGCAAAATGATAACACTAATACTAATATGCAATAAACTATGCCCACGTTGTATGCATTACTTTAGACGTAACGTTTCACGCATATAAAATACGAGAACACTTGACTGGATACGAGTCTGATTCCAACTGCAGCCCATCAGCCCTCCAGTAGAGTTTAAATAAATCAGATCCACGACTCAGAGCTGAACTAGTCACCAGTGTGCTTGCTGTTTGAATCGACTGTTTTCTGACACTTTTGACTCCTGCCCTGTTGTTTTCTTCACCTATTTGCATCCTGCGCTATGCTAATGTAGCTTCCTGGCAGCTTACAGCTTTGCTTCGGCTGCTAACATGCGTACTGTGCACTTTAAATATTGTGGGATTTACATTTGACTAGCAAACTAAGTTGTATGCGAGCTCCTGTCCCACCAGCTTTTCATGTCTCGGCTGAGCAGAAGAATATAAGGAAACATTTTCCAAAGCAGGGATATCTCATCCATCCTACAAAAGGCCAAGTTACAGCGCAGTGGAAGGGCGTTTTCTATAACACCAGATCGTACAGTGTTCTGCTAAAGCTGGCCGTGTGAGGGATCCTGTTACACATGAATGAGTCAATTTGATCACAGCGGGTCAATGACAGTGCAAGGACTATTGTGGACTGGTAGTCTGCAGCAGAATGCACCAATACAGCTGCACATATGCTAGACAGTTTGCTCCACCTTTGTTTTTACAATAAACATTTCATCTTTTGGGTTGCATTGAAAAAGTAGTGTGCTGTGTACATTTTATGAAATCTAGCACATGATGTTATTTGCAAACAGCCTGGAGGACATTACAGATGAGAAATAAATTATGAAAAATAGTCAAGAAACTCTCCCATTGCTGTCCCGACTTCCTGTGTAGAAATGGAAAAAGGCCTCCAAACAACGTATCCTCTCTGAGATTCTTTTTAGTCGGTGTAGCGTCGCACTAATGGCAGCTTCAGTAGTCCCGCTCTAGTAGACGACACTCCAGATTAGAAAACTGATCCGTGTTTGTCACCTGTTTCTGTAGATAAAAAATTGGGGCCACGACACATGAGGAACAGAAGGAGACAAATTCATTGTTGACTTCGTTCAAGATTCAAGGAGTTGAGATGCTCAGCCTCAAACTGTTTTCTTCTTTTCCCAGCGTGTTTCTTTAACTACTTTAGTTAGGTAGCTGTGTGTCCTTGACATTAGGGCTGCACCATTATGACCAAAATGATAATCACTGTTATTTTGATGAATGCTGAGATTTTAGGAGCAACATATCTCTATTGCAACAAACAGAGAACCGTTTTTACTTCCATTCTCTGTTACATTAAATCTCTGCAGCGAAATAAGACTTAAAATAATCTTCTGTGCATCTCCTGAAGGTAAACTATAAATAAAATAGTACGTAGAACACCTCACTTGTTCAACACCTGCTGATTGATAGACAATACAACTTACCAATGTTCCCTAAACGCCTCACATGCAGGCTGCAGTAGAGGCTAGTGTCCACTCAGTTACTGCAGCTCAGACAGATGTGTTTAAAAAGAGCCAAATGAAGCGCTCTAGCATCAGATTTATCCAGACCAAGTGGTTTTATCCACATGGGCTGTTTTCTATGAATGGAGCATTACAAACATGAACATTCATTTTAAAGAAGCCAAAACTGTGATTAACATTTGTTTAATTGTGCAGCCCTATTTAACATTGTACCGTTGTTTTATTTAGGGTGTAGGAACTGATTTTTCTCCTTATTGATCTTACTTAATGACAGACGGGTGTTATCCAGGCCTACAGAGTTCTGTGTGTTTCTGTTACAGTGTGGAGCACAAGACGTGCATTTAGTAGAACATTTCAGGCTGTTTGTCTTCAGTTTGGGGCGTTATTTTAGGGTCTGAAAAATGCACTTTTAACATACAGTATATCATGCAATATACTGTGTCTTTAAGGCTCATTATTTTCAGCAAATCTAAAAATAAAGTCTTTATAATGAGTGAATGCAGCTTAAATAGTAGTTTGTAGTAGCACTTTTCAAAATCACAGGATAACTAAGTGCTTTAAAAATATAACATCTATGCAAGACTATAAATACAACAAGGTTAGTTAATACAGCTAGAATGCAACGGAAATAGATAAATCCAGAAGTAGAGGTCAGCAGATGTCAGCTAAATGTGAGCTGTAGTGTCTCAGGAGGTTCTTTCAAATCTTAAAATGTTCCTTATTTTTGAAAACTTGGTGAAAACTGAAAATGTTGGGCCTTAAACGTCGTGTGAGGTTTTTCTGAACTATCTTCCTCTTTGGGGTCGAGTTCTGCACAACATATTATGTTTTGCTGACGATTGTTTGTTTTATTCTTCTAGCTTCTGCCTTCATTTTCTGTATTTTCTCTTTCCTTTGCTTTGTTTTTCTTTCTTTCTTTCTTTTTTGGAAGGGGTAGTTTCCAAATATTGGCAAATTTGAAAGGATATTTGTGCAAGATTTTTTAGAGAAGTGGTTTCACATGAGTTTGACTTTCTTCACATTAACGCTCACATCCCAGAAACAACACTACAGCACTGAAAACCTCATGAACAGTCCAACCAACACACTTTAAAAACTCCTAAACTTCCTGTTCAGCTGTTTCATTTACAACCCAGCATATTTTGTGAAGTCCTACCTACTAATATAACCTCTGTCTGCCATTTATACATGACAGTTACCTGATTATCACCTGCTGGACTGACTGACTAATCAGGAAATCACTGCCCTCTGCTGGTTGGGGCTTGTATTGCACTGTACTGGGAACTTGATTGGTTTGATTTCATGTGAATAAACAGGAAAGTGGAAAAGAGAGAATACTTTGTTGTTTTGTGACATACTTTTGAATGTCTGAACAAGAATGTTCATGCAAACGGAGAACAATTAAAGGCATTCATATATATACTGTATTACTGTATAACGGCACAGTAAGTGAAGCTTTTCTCTTTTTCCTAGTAGCCTCCTTGTACTCACACATTTTATATGCGAGTGTTTGACACCTGTATTTTGACTTTTTGTGTCTCCGTTGCAGATAAACCATGTTGGACCAGTTCCTCCCTCCTACTACGTGCGGGATCATGTAAACGTGGATTACGAGCAGTGTACCACCGTCAGTCGAGGTTCGTCCCAGCAGCTGGACTATGAGATCTTATTTCCAGGCTGCGTCCTCAGGTCAGTGATTTAAGTTCTACAACTAATGAAAATATATTAACCGATTAGTTGATTATTTTTGTGTTTATTTATTTATTTATTTTTAAATACGGGTCTTCTAGGGACGTACAAGTTTCCAGTTCTAACATCACAATCTATTCAAAAGACAACACAAAAACAAGTTTTCAGCTAAACAATCAGAAAGATTTTGAAATCTTTCGACCAAAACACGTTATGACGCATAAAATGAATAAAAAACATGATTCTCCAGAGTATGGCAAACTAATTGGCATACTAATTTGAGGAACCTGGATTATCTGCATGCAATGCGTGAAGAAACTGACCGCACCGTCAGAAGATCAACACATCAGGGTTTGTTTGCTGACATGCAGAAAAGAAGCTTCACACAGATACAGAATTCACCAAATAAGAACACAAGACTCCGATATGTAAAAGTCCTATCAAAGGAGGACTGTCTAAAGTTGTCTCCGAGGACGAGGAGCGTCTCTAAACCATTCATCAGGAGGGAAAACAAGGACAGCCACATGGAGAACAGTCCTGTTTATTGATGAATCCTGGTTACGGATTAGCTGCCGTAGCAGAAGGGTGTATGTGAGGAGACCAACAGGAGAGAGAACACAGTAGGTTCAACTTAGGATACACACTACGCAGCAACTCAGGGTTGATTTTTATTATTATTACTTTATTTTAGGTGATTGCAGAATATATGATATTTAGATGCTGCTCCTGAGCCCAGACCTTCCTGTTCCAACATCAGATATCGTTAACAGAAAACTCCTAATATGTTGTTACTGGAATTATTTAATGTCTAATGTTATTACTTTATTTATTTAACTTGACACTGTTGCAGCTTTTGTGATGAATGTTTTATCTTTTGTACCAAGTTTTAAAAGGCAGTAAACACATGCTTGAATGTACACATGTAAATTTACATTTACACATAAGAGCATAGAGCAGTTGATATTTTGATGGTAACTCGTATGTTAATGATCCATCATATATTTAAAATCTATCGCACAGTGAATATGGAACCGGCATTACAAATGACAATATTTGTTCCCCAAAATGCTGCAAGTTGAACATTTTTTTTTTTTTTTACTGCTATTTCACAAAAACAATCTGTTTAAAGGCATCACCTTTAAGTGTGTCCAGTGTTTATGTTCTCTTCTCATCTTTGATTTAGAGTCTGAGGTTCAGAACTCCACTGAGAAGTTTTTTAAGATTTATTCACTGTTACAGTAATTCAGTGATATTTATCAGAACATTAAATCGTGTACAGCAAAACTAAATTTTAAATAGATAATTCACCTTACTTCATTTTCCAAAATGTAAACAAATCTATATAGATTTATGTATTTTTACATTGTTATGTACAGCGTATTATATTTGTTCACCTCGTGTTTTCATACAGTTCAGCCAGCTTGTACGCTACCATACTGTATATAGCCATACTACATGTAATGTAGTTTTACTGCTTCTTTTGCACTTATGGTTCAATACTGTGCTGAATGTCATTGTCTTAGTACTTGTACTCTGAACAATGACAGTAGAGTGAATGCAATCTAAATAAAATGTGGAGCAGGGCTCAAATTATAACGCTATGTGTCACTGAAAACATCCTGTTGTTTTAGGTTTGACTTTTAACATGACATTATTATCATTATTATATATATAATATTGTTTATGTTCTTACCTACTTTGCATCTTTAAGTGTCTTCAAAAGTGCTATATAAGTGTTATTATCATTTACTACTATTATTATTATCTATATTGCGCAGATTGTATGTAAGTAGAAGTATTCCAATATGGCACATGTTCTAGTATTTGTAGAAAAGTAGGTACAGAAAGTCTAAAATATTCATCATTCACAGAATATGTCTGCATTGTACCAAGTGCAGTCTCAGTCTAAATCTTTATTCATAAAAAACATCTGGTGCAGAAATTCTTTTGCAAACATCTACGTATATTTAATATCTTTTTTAAACTAAGGTTTTCTGTGTCTTTTGTGAATCTCCTGCATCTATCATACAAGACACCAAAACAAGAAGTGTATTTTATTTAAATCAATCAGAACATTTTAATAAAGCATCACTTGATTAACTGGAGACGTGTTTTCTGCCCTGTCAGGTGGCAGTTTTCCAGTGAGGGTGCAGACATCGGCTTCGGCGTGTTTCTAAAGGCTAAAAAGGGCGAATGGAAGAAGGCTGCTCAGATGGAGGAAGTCGTCCCCAGCCAGAGATACAACGCCCACCTCGTCCCCGAGGACGGGTCGCTGACCTGCGAGCGTCCAGGAGTCTGTGAGTTGCCGAATCTGAATCTAACGCCACTGCAGCGCTAAAGCCAACAGTGTCAACATCTGTGTCCGTCTGTCCTCCACAGATGTGCTGAGATTTGACAACACCTACAGCATCTTTCAGGCCAAACGGATCAGCTTCACGGTGGAGGTTCTGCTTCCCGACCGGATGCAGTCTCCGCAGAGCAACGGGAAGCCGAGCAGCCCCGTCCAGGCCGAGGGCAGCAGCAGCAGCAGCCCGACGCAATGAGGAGGATGGTTTAAAACTTCCATGTTGTCAGATCAGAAGCACAGCCTGACCTACCTGAGCTAAACAGGGACACGCTGCCTGTCTAACAGTATTATACCGGAACGTTCCAGGACCCTTTAAATGTCTTTAAGGACCTTCTCCTCACTCATCCTCCACTGAAAAACAGACAGAGCTTCACATGTTGTTCTATCGTGACATTTTACTTTGTGTTTTTCTATAGAAAGACAGAGTGTTTGAGAACGACCACCAACTTTATCAGGTTGGCTCATGTTTAAATCAAGTGTAAAGTAGGCGACAGCAAGAAATAAAACATTTCAAATAAACTCCTTCACGCTGTCCAACTTGCAAAAATACATTTATTCAGTGGAGGAAATGTGTTGTCATTATAAACACGAGTACAACGAAACTCTGTTTGGCTCTTGTCTGATAATTAAAAAGAACAATTAGCTGCTAATAAAGCACAGATCAGTTAAAATACACAGACTGACTAAGAGCAGCAGCAGAATAAATAAATATAAGCAGCAGAATAAAGTAAATAAAAACAGAAGATTGATAGTTTTTGCTGGCTGTTCTAATATATTTATACAAAATGCAGCCACACCTGTAGCTCACGCACCAAAGTAATGCGAATAAATGCAAGTTAGACGGAGTGCAGGAGTCCGTTTGAAACCTTTTCATTTGTTTTGTCTCTCCTCTGCACACCCGACTCATGAAACAGACATGCAGAGAGTCTTCTGTCTCATTTGTACAAAGCAAAAGATGATTATTTTCTATAGATGTGCAGCAGAAACATTTGCAAATGGCCTCTCTTATGACAATCAAACAATAAACCTGCCTAAGAATTCATTTATATGGTAACAAAATGCTGAAATGTGCATCATGTAAAAGCAAATCTGCTGTTTTGTATATACAGCAAACAATGTTTTTCATGTTATTAACCAGCTGTGTGTTACTATCGACCATCTTTTTCTTCCTGGAATATCGACCACTCACTTACACCAACATGTGGAGTCATTAGTAATGAGCTGTGAAACTCCTTTTGTGCCTGTATTAGGACGTTGGTGGTTTCTGTCCATGTTTAAGCCACAAAACTTTCACATTTGCAGATCCTAACATATTTATTTCCTAATTTATTGACAGCAAACACTGGGTGAAACAAGATAGAACTATTTATACAAACATGGTGAAGCTTGTGTCAGAGTTTTTCAGTCACAGTTGGTTTTAGGTAAGAAGCATTTACATTTCAGTGAGTATTACATGTCGTCAAGTCACTGGCAGTGAAAGAAACTGGTTTCTGCTGAAAGTCTCACCAGACAAGTGCTGAATGTAGATTTTGGCCAAATGATGGATTCACTCTATATTCTTATTTATGTGAATTGTAACAGAACCCCAACAACTTATGAAGTTATGATATTACAGAGAGATGATATTACAGAGAGAACAATATTTTACATAATGAACTGTACTGAGAAGAATATTTCCTGTTATGATGAAGGTTGGACCAACGTATATTGTAAAGAAATAAAAATAGATTTTAAACAAAACTTAAAATGTCGACTGACTGTATTTTAATATTTTTTTCATTTAATGATAAAGCTTGCTGTGAAAACCTCTTTCTCTTCAGTGTGTCTCATATTTAAACTAAACAGTTTAGGTTGGCTGTGGTCATTTTTCACATTTTATACTTTATCATATTTTA